ATCAATTTATAATTTCAAAATATTAAACGTAAAACACAAAGTACACTTAAAAGAACATTCATTATATGCTAAGCAAATAAATTAAAAAATGAAAAATGTGAATTGAAATTAAACTGGATAAAGGAGATGCTGTTTCACATCTGAGATTAAGAATAAATGAAAAATGTGATCAAAGCAATGTAATAAAAATTGTATTATGTATCAAAGTTCATCTCAGAGATTCTTAAATCTGACCATAATTATTTATTTACAATATTTCTTATTATTTTTTTTATTCAGTCGAGTGTTTCTGCTGTTTAAATGTGTTCGAAATGTTAACTTAACACATTTTTCAGTGTGAGATACTTCTGATTAAGTCAAAGAGAATTTTTTTTACTAAATCTTGGGTACTTTATTTAAAATTTCTTTATTTCAATGGAGCGGAAATAAAAAAGGAATAGGAATTGTTTGTCATTTAATTATAGTATATTTTTTGGTCAGACAAACTTTTGAGTATAATTTTCTAACGTAATTTTTCAGCAAATTAGAAATCAGTTACAAAAAACTAAAAATTTAATTTTCACAAACTGCTTAATATGTTTTTACAATTAGACCACGCTATATTGTCCTTATAATAGCCTTCATAAAAACTTTACCAAGTGGCAATTTATTTAAAATGTGTGAAGGTTGTGTAAGTGGAAGTGTGAAAACTTGGCAATTGTTATTCTTATAAGTTTCAAGTTATAGCACTTGCCAATTAATACATACTCGTATATGAAAATAAAAATAGGAAAATAAAGTGGCAACTATTTTTAAGTTTCTTCTAAGGCTTGATATCAGTAAATTGAATAATTGTTTTAATTAGTATTTAATTACCTATGTATTTGTTTATTCTTAGTTTCTGTATTTTTATTTTAGTTTAAAATGTACTAAAGTAATTAAAAAAAGTCTAAAAATTGTACTGTACATTTTGGCGGATACTAAAATTATAAATAATAAAAATTAAGAAAGAAGATACACATCTTTGCCAAATTCATCCCTCCTAAATCACTTTATTGCAATACCAACCAAATCTAGGTCAAGTTTGAGATAAAAAGTATAGTAAAATTCTATCAACCATGTATTTTATCGACAGTTACATGGAAATTAATATGATTTTATTACAACTGTTTATTTTATTTAGTAATTTGTTTAAAGCTGTAGCGTTAAGTTTTAGTAGATGATTTTTAAATTCAACAAGAAATTATTAATATGAGTTATAAATACATTTAAGTAAAATTTTAGTGAAAAATTCGTCTTCTACCTATTTGTAAAAAGTAGTATAAAAGTTTAATTCATTTTGTATTGATCAGACATGAAATTTCTTAAGTATAACATAATTAATTTAAAAAGAAATATATATTTTTTTATTAGCTTTCTCAAGTTTTTACTTTGATTCTATTAAAATTAAAGATATCAGTTAAATTCAAATATGTTTAATACACCGGGTGCTCCATTTAAGACGTTTATATATTTTTTTCGTACTGCTCTGTATTTTATCTGTATTTAATGGGACGACTAAATCTCTCCACACACGTGGAAAGAAAAAGTCCATCAGGTAACAACCAAAAGATTTACGAAGGTGTTATAGTTTCAAGTAAAACATGCTCTAAACTGTGCGCCCACGGATGGAATTGAAAAGAAGGAAAATTTATATTTTTCATTTTATGGAAAAAAGTTATTCTGTTTAAAAAAATCTGCTTTTTATTCAAATGTACAAAAATATAATTTTAAGTTAGTGTACATATACAGGGTGTCTTCTCAAAGAAACGATATAAATATATGTTGATTTTATCTTTATAACGCATCACTATCAGTTGAGAAACACAGAAATCCTTCATCCAATCCTTCTTCAACATTTATTATCTACAGTGTCCACATATTGTCAATTGCTGGTGTCAATGAAGAAAAAATGTGATTGGAAATTTTGATACTTATCCTGATAGACGAATTTGTTAGGTAAAAAATAATCTGTAACGTATTTTTATTTTTGAAAATTTAGTAGGCTTAGTAACGAACGTATAAGATAAAAATCATTAGGAAAATGTGTTCAAAATTCAAATTTAATCCTATGTTCCAAATTGTTTATAATAATCGGCTTACTTTAATTTTTTAATTTCGTAAACCTTTTTTGGTTAAGAGACCTGGAAAAATTGAATTTAAAAAAAATTTAAATGTATGTTGTCGTCCCAAATGTGGTGACAATTGTTTTTCTTCAAATTTTTGGCAAATATGCTACTATTACTTTTTAATTTCGTTTTAAATTGTTATGTCTTTGAGTTTTATAGTTAAGACAATCTGAGAACACACTGTACATTTTAAATGTCGGAAAATAATTGATTATTTATGTGTTCTTCAACTGATGTATTATTGCTTTATAAAGGTGAGGTGAATTACAATATCTCTATAATTTCTTTGTAGAGGACATTCATTTAAAATATTTCTGTACATTAATATTACAAAGGAGTAAATCAACAAATAAAACATTACATTACCTACATTACATTATCTTTCGATTTATTTTAAAATCTCCTTCAGGATTAGTACATATATGTATAACCTATATCAACATTTCTAAAATGAAGAAAAAAAACTTGCCAATGTTATGTTATAACGTACCTATCACATAAAACACATAAGGCTCAGATGGATTTGTTTTATCTTTACAATAAATTCATGTACTAGTCCTGAAGAAGATTTAAAAATAAATCGAAACTTCGGATAGGACTTTTTATCTGTTATCCAACTGCCGAAAATGTGTCTAGAATTACCAATAGAGTATCTAGAACTACAGAAATAATCATTTCACAAATTTTCAGAAAAATTAATTTTTTATAGAGAGTGTTTCTGAAATAGTCATGTTCCTTCAAATGGGTAATACAGGCCGTGAAAATACACATTTTCATTAAACAATCTGTGATTGAAAGTGTAATATGTTCGAGATAGAGTGAACTCAATGTACGAGAGCCGTACAAGAAATACGAGTCTTAAGTGAGAGGATGACATTTTACACCTCATCAAGGAAACCTGAGCCGCAGTACCCGCAATATTACACGTGAGGTAGGTGTTTCAAATAGTACTATGTGACGTGTGTTACGGAAGCAGTTACTGCTTATCATGTTTGTAGGCTTTGAATTCAAATGATTTTCATCCGCGTGCAGAATTTTGCCGTTCTTTTGGCAGCAAGTGACAAACAACCAAATTATAGAGACAGAACTTTTCAAAGATGACTGCTGCTTTACAAGAGACAGTTTACTGTATCACTTTAATACTCAGTATTGGTAATGCAAATTTTTGTACAGAATGCACGTTTTCAGTGAATATGTGGTGTGGGGATTTCAGTGACAGTTTTTTTGTACCAACTGTCTTAAACTGTGAGGCATGTATAGAGTTTCTAACAAATACCTTTCCTGATTCATTAGGTTACGTTCCATAACATTGGCTTGAATAGCATAATTTTCATGTACGATGGTGCCCCTACGCAAGTTTCTCGAACTATTTGTGACTTTTTAAAGACTCACTTCCTGCATACATATGTATATGACTCAATGGACATGCATTGGCCAGCGCGAAGTAGTTTTTTTAATTCGTTTTGTTGCCGAGAATGCTTATAAAAATTTTGAGAGGCGATGTTTTTGAAACTGCTACGTGCACTCTATACAACAGGTTCAGTTTCAAAATTTTCTGTTTCGTTTATTTAACTTTTTTTTTGACGGAGCGCTACATAAAACACGTTTCATTGTTGGGCAATATTTTAAAAATAATGAAGGTTTGCAGGTACAGTTCGTAATTTTCGTACAAAATATCAGAAACTGATTTAATTTCATCACCTGTGAAGAGATAAATTGAAAAATTCAATACAGACCACGCAGAGCGAAGAGTTCGTTGAATGGATTATGGAACAACAAGAAGGGGATGCTGATTGTTCGAACAAAATCATCTTCGTTGATGAGGCTCATTTTCATCTTGATGGTTTCGTTAATCGACAGAATTATTGGAGTACAGATCCATTAGTGATTGTTGAGAAATAAATGCCATCCATAACGTATCACTGTTTGGTGCGGATTTTGGGCTGAAGGCATCATCGGACAATTCCGTTTAGAAAATACCGCTGGTCAGGCAACAACAGTTAATGGTGTTCGCTATCGCGACATGATAATCCAGTTTTCTGTGCCTAAATTGCAAGATATGGATGTAGACGACATGTGGTTTCAACATGATGGTGCCACAAGCCATACAGCCCGAGAAACAATTCAATAACTTCAGAAATCATTTCCTGGTCGTGTAATTTCCCGTTTTAATGATCAGAATTGGCCGCCTAGCTCATGCGATTTTACGCCGTTGGATTGGTATATGCCAGAAAAGCCACGAAGGCCGTTTACTCGATGTGCTATTCCATACATAACTCTATAGATACCGTGTAATTTATGAATCAACAAAAAATGTACAATTTTTGGTCACCCTTTATAACCGAGGTGATAATTTTCGGTGGGATATCCGTAACTATGTATTTTTTTAGCATATTCTGTATATTTTATTTTTTTTAAGCAGGTGTAACCCTGTACTAACTACATACATACAAAGTATAATTATGTATTTAAATTCATTTGTTATTCAGGAATATTCAACTTTCATGAAAATAAATAATAAACTCCCCAAACGAAACATTCGTATGCATGAATGAATTAAAATTATGAATGAATCAAAGGAGAAAGCAGACATTTCTTCATATTGTCATTCGGGAGCGTTTTTTATCCTTCGCGTCATTACCTGCCCCATAAAAAAATCCTGCTTTGCCGTTCCGGCTCCCAATCCTTCCAAGGCTTTAGTAAAATTGTCATAATTTATGTAAAAGTGTTATGGAAGGCGTTAGTTTTTCGCTACCTGAACGCCGGCGCGCTGCAAGAAACACGCCCTCTCGGTACCCCTATAATGAGAGCGGTTCTCAACTTTTATTAATCAGAAAGTTCTGTCACTGTCGCTGTTATCCGCCGAGTCCTTCCAAAACACCGCCCGCCCGCCCGCATCGGAAACCGGAATCGGAAACAACAGGTAGGCCATTCATTTATTTTTTATAAGCGTGGACTTTCGCGATCTTAAGTTTGCTGTTGGTAAAACAGGTGGGTGTTCTGTAACATTGCCCTGTTGCTGTTTCTAGTTAATTTAATTATATATTATATATAATATTATATATAATATTTAATATTATGAAAAGCTGTTATTCAATAAACGTCTGTATACAATGAAAATTAAATTGCAAACATTTTAACATGCACCTAAATCGTACCGTAAAGTAACAGTTTTTATTTTACAACAACGTCAACTGTTTTATAAATTTTACAAATCAAATACGACATATCTAAAATTATTTATTTTTGTTATTAGTTTATACATATATCCATTAACAAATGCGGTTGCTCACAAGATTTATTTTCAATATTCGAATAAGTATATTAAAACTGTTGCCTGGAATGGTCTAAAGTCCAAACGAAGTTTGCGACATTTTGATTTTGTAAAAACCATGCTTTGATAACTGATACTTTTTGACATTCTGATATGAATGATCTCTACTTGTATAACCTCAATTTTAAAAATAATATATCTGTGTACCAGTAGACAATAATNCGTGGACTTTCGCGATCTTAAGTTTGCTGTTGGTAAAACAGGTGGTTGTTCTGTAACATTGCTCTGTTGCTGTTTCTAGTTAATTTAATTATATATTATATATAATATTATATATAATATTTAATATTATGAAAAGCTGTTATTCAATAAACGTCTGTATACAATGAAAATTAAATTGCAAACATTTTAACATGCACCTAAATCGTACCGTAAAGTAACAGTTTTTATTTTACAACAACGTCAACTGTTTTATAAATTTTACAAATCAAATACGACATATCTAAAATTATTTATTTTTGTTATTAGTTTATACATATATCCATTAACAAATGCGGTTGCTCACAAGATTTATTTTCAATATTCGAATAAGTATATTAAAACTGTTGCCTGGAATGGTCTAAAGTCCAAACGAAGTTTGCGACATTTTGATTTTGTAAAAACCATGCTTTGATAACTGATACTTCTTGACATTCTGATATGAATGATCTCTACTTGTATAACCTCAATTTTAAAAATAATATATCTGTGTACCAGTAGACAATAATATAGTATTGTAGTTAATAAAAATTAAAACAGTTGATTTAAAATATTGTGAATATGTTAAATAAAATAGTTAAGAAAGAAATTATATACTTTCTTCATACCAAGTTATTCTGTAGAGCCTACGAATGTTAGAAAATTAAAAATAAATATACAGGATGTCCCAATCTATAGGTGTACACGCTACTAACATAAGAAACGAAATTCAAATATACAGCTCGTCCCTCCTGATAGATGAAACGACTCTTGTGAGAAATAAAAAAATGGTGTTGAAAAATTACTTTCTGGTATTCAGCTTTAATCAACTTGTTTGTGAAACGAAATGTGGCGTGAATTCAAATCCGGAAAGTGCCTTAGAAATTTAGGAAAAATCAGATTTTATTCACCGGTATAGTGCCATTTCTGTATATCACAAAATGTTGTTAGGAAAAGTTTCTGAAAATTAAAAACCGAGTGTTTTTGTAAAATTTCAATGTCTTACTTTTATTTTTTGCTTGATGTAAGATATTGTTGCTAGTAAAGTGCCTTTTCTGTATGAAATACAAAAAATTAATAAAAAGAGCATTTTACTAGCGAAAAGCAAAAATTCAAAGCCATAAGATAATGAAATTAATTCAGTTTTTCATTCTGAGAAACATTTTTTGATAACTTTCTTTCGTATGTTATACAGAAATTGCGCTTTACTTAACAAATCAAATTTTTCAAAATGTTCAAGGCATTTTACGAATTTGAAATCATGGCAGTGTTTCTTTCACAACCAAGCATGGCCGAATCACAAGATGCCACTTTTCAGCACCAATATTTTCTGTCTTTTACAAGAGCCACCTATCTGGGGACATGCGAATATATATTTTTTAATTGAAAAAGGGGCATATCGGGAAACTACTACTTCCTCAAAACTGTAAATTCTATACTACGATTTATTTAGAGATCAAATTTCGGATATTGTAATTTTTTGTTCCAAAATTCTCCACGTTGTTCTGTATCCATATACTGGCAATGAGTTGCCGATTTTTATTATTTTCTATTGTTATAAATTAATATTGCAAAATAGTATAAGCCATTTGTGGGAAATTGTAAGTTACAAACCCCTTTTTTTCGATATTATATATTATATTGAGAAAAATTAAATGAACAAAACAAAAAATAAAGTGATAAACTAAAATTCACGAAGAATTGTTATATTTTTAATTTTTATATAAGCATTTAAAAATAAATATATCTTTACAAAAATTGGTAAAGAGGTATTTTAAGCAGTACAGAATAACATGATAATTTGAGATAAATTTATTAATATAATGCTTGTACAAATGTTCAACTTTCAAAAGTAGGTAGGTAAGTGTTTTATTAGGGCCTATTTAAAGAAAAAAACGTCTCTTCTTTTTATTTACTGCGTTAAAGACTTGTGCACCTATAAATCTGAAAACCCTGTACTAAAAAAAAGACTTGTGAAGCTAACAATCTTAGTTTAATATAAAAACTATACATTAGACAAAATAATTTGAATAAATATATTTTCTTCTATAGACATTACAATTATCTTTGCTTTTTTATTTTCTTATGTTTAAAAAATGTTATAATTACAATCGGTTTTAGAAAAATAGATAATCACTTACCTTGTTTCTCCGTGCATTTCGTATTTCGTCACTTCTGAAAAAATAACACAGCCACACAAAAAAGAAAAGTAGTCTGTACCTTTCATGCGACATATGTTATCAGTAGTATTTTTGCCTCCTGATCACGAATCCGGTGTCAGAATTGAGCTAACACATCACAGAAATTTCCTAACCTCAAAAACAGGTCAGAAATAGCAAAAATTCACGAGAAAGTGCTAGGAAAACTAGAAAAATTTTTTTTTCTATATTCAAATGTTCATTTATATAGTTAAGATTCCGCCGAAAGTGAATTAGCGGTCAAAATTGATGGTTCTTTTTCTAACCTTAAAAAAACGGGTCAATTAAGGTTAGATATCACTAATTTTCAAAACACAACAAATTCGCGCTAAATTTGGTATGCGGGGGTTTTCGGGGTCGCTGATCACGGATCCGAGGTTAATTTTGCAAAATTCAAGATGGCGAATCCAAGATGGCCGACCAAATTTTCAAAAAAATAACAGATTCGCATCAAATTTGGTATAAGGGGGTTTTCGGGGTCGCTGATCACGAATCCGAGATCAGATTTACAAAATTCAACCCGTGAATAGATTTTTTACAGAAAAAAGAACAAGTTTGGTAATTCTGACCTCGAATACGTAATCAGCGACCCCGAAAACCCCCGTATACCAAATCTGCTGCGATTCTGTTATTACATAGGTATTTGAAAATTTGGTCGGCCATTTTGGATCCGCCGTCTTGAATTTTGCAAAATTGACCACGGGTCCGTGATCAGCGACCCATAAAACCCCCGTATACTAAATTTGGCGTGAATCTGTTATTGTTTGAAAATTCGTGATATCTGGCTTTAATTGACCCGTTTTTTTGAGGTTAGAAAAAGAACCATTAATGCTGACCGCGGATTCACGTTGGGCGGAGTCTTAACTAAGTAAATGAAGATTTAAATATAGAAAAAAAAATTTTGTATTTTTCCCAGCACTTTTTCATGAATTTTTGCTATTTTTTACTTGTTTTTTGAGGTTAGGAAATTCCTGTGATGTGATAGCTCAATTCTGACACCGGATTCGTGATCAGGAGGCAAAAATTCTACAGATAACATATGTCACCTAAAAAGTACAGACTACTTTTTTTGTGTGTGGCTGTGTAATTAAATAAACGTTTGTGCAAAAAGTCAGACAGCGGTTATTTTTATGAAATTATTTTTGCGTAACCAAAAATTCCACATTGAAGAAAAAAGGCAAGTTAAATTAAAACGGGCGATTCAGTGTATTATAAAAATAGTTAAATTTATTTAAAAAGAAACGTCATTGCAGTTCTGAAATTGAAATTATAAATTTTCGAAACATGAAGTGACAGCGGTATGTATTTTTGTTTCTTTTTCAGTGAGATTTTTGGTTGGGCAAAGATGTTTTTTTCTGAAAATAGTTTTGCTTAACCAAAAACCAAAAACATCAAACTGAAAACATCTCACTTTTCGTTTGTAGAACTGAGACCAACGACGTTTTATATTATTTCTGTCAGTTTAAATTTGTATTGTAATGTTAAATATAATTGAAATCAATCAAAGCGTCATATATGAGTTATGAAAACAGAAACAGACAGATTTTAGAAACATTATCTTATGGAAGTGCGCGATATACAGTGAATATCTATTTACATTTTTCAGTGTACAATATTTGGTTAGATAAAACTATGTTTATAAAAATAATCCGTAATTTATCATTTTCGTGCAAGGCTTTATTTCCTTAATACAGGAGAAACAAAAACTATACCACATAATTCAAACAATACCTTATACAAAAAATATATGTTACTCTATTTTTGTTGTCTTTTGTTTGATTAGTTAATTGTATATTTTTTTAACGTCCTACTAATATGTAATTTTTGATATAATTAGTCTATTTTGCAATATCCATTCTAGAGCAAATTTTAAAAGATTAATCACGGAAATAAATGAATTCAGTATTAGAAATTGCAAGTTAACTTTCATTAAAGTCAAAAATCATTTCAAATTAAATAAACTAGTTATTAAACGTTGAAGACACTACGGGTGTTATAGGATAATAATACCCTCGGTCGACGTACACTGCCGACCTCAGTATATATCCATATAACAACCTATGTGCCTTAATTACTAAATTAATATGTTGCAGTAGATACCAATAATAATATTTACATTAATAATTTATTTTTTAAATTAAAACAGTAGCAATGTATTTATATATTACATTTCAAATAAACCACTAGGTATTTCAAACTGCATTACACTCATGT